CCAGTGGGACGAAATTCATCTGTGTGCCATCTTGGTAGAGTCGAAGAACCACCTGCGTCAGCAAGTGGTAAAATTGAAATATAATATATACATGTCTATCTACTAGAAAAATACCTGGTAGCATATACTTTACACCTATTCGGATCCCAGGATGACTCTTGTGACCCTCCGTACCCTCCAGGCTCCCATTACCCCAGCCGAATGAATCGTATTGGAGCCGCTCCTAATGCTTCCAAAACGGCGATTTTTTTACCTGGTGCTTCATCAGGATCCTAATAGCGAGCCTGATAAAATGTTTGGACCGGCATGCTTGTCCCATCACTGAGCCGTTCGCAAGAAGTCTCGAGGAGGCATGATGCAAAGCGCTAATATGGCTCTTTCGAGTCATATAGTTTGCCTAAATGTCGAGCGAAGCTGTCATGGCTTCGTACTCACTGCGCCAACCAACCATTGGCCCGCCCCAGGAGTGGCTCCGCGTAATCCCAGTGAGGACCGGCATTGGACCGCACCTGTTGAACGTCTACTTCTAGAAACTTGAAAATGACATTTAGAAAGGTGAAGCCATTCGGATTGGGGCTTACAGTGTTTCGAGGGCATGAGGCAACCTTGGGCTCAGATGCCAGCGCCTATGCTGTTCATGGCTAATGGTCTCGCCCTATCAAGCTGAACATCTCATGTCCCGATATGGTATTAAATTCCACTAATATAGTATCCTTAGGCACTTGGTCAAATGCCTTAATGAGTCATGTTACCGGAGATGGTCGGAAATACCATACCTCTAGTGGTGGGAGAAAGACGACCATAGGTGTCTGTCAATTGATCGGTAGATATGAAAGTGGAGAAAAATGTGCCTCTGAATTGCGAATCCCGACAGCCACGCCCCCCCTTAGGCGGCAGGCCCTGACTATTTCCGGTGCGCCAGTAGGCCCTACCGTCCAAAAATCAACCTCAATAACGTAGCTTTGAATTATACATGCGCTGTTTAGCCTCAACATGAGGCCTGCATCGTGCATTTTCGAAGGGACCGCATCCCAAACGAAGCCGATTAGGAAGGTATATAAGGAGACCCATTCCAGAGTGGCTAAAAAGATCGCCCAACAGACTGCTTTCCCTCTTCGTCTTCATTATCATACTTATTGGGTCCTGTCGTCGAACAGTTTATAAACGCCTGTCCTTACCACTCGAGGTCTTTATTCACCCCTTTCCACACTTTTTACACGTTCCATCACGATGTCAAATCCCCTTCGACGCCAAAAAGAAGATGCCCATGAATACCGTATGCCTCCAGGTAGGCGAACAGACTCCCACGCTATTCCGACGCCCAACTGATCCTATATAGCAGGCATACCTCTTTCAGCACCTTCCTGGCAGACTATTAACCCAATCTACAACCAAAACTCCACTAATTCCTCTCACATTCCCCCTTATCCCACTTTTTCCGCTCATCCTCCCGGCCAGCAGCCTTGGACAATGGAGCCTGGCCAGCAGATCCCTGAGTATCAAGCACAAAACGCTCATTATGGTACATTTCCGCAACAAACAAACCTATCTTACCCTATGCATGATTCTACACCTCAGCACAGCAGCCAGCTCCCCATCTCGTCTGTTTACCCTCCCGCTGCATCTGGCGGTG